ACGCTCGTCAGGTCTGCCTCCACCACGCTTGCCTCCCGTCTGCCAACGGTCGCCGTGCCAGCCGTCGCTCCAGTCGCTCTGCCAGGTGCCCCAGGTGTCCCAGGAGCTTGTCGCTCGGTCGCGCCAGCTGCTCTGCTGGTGACTGCCTTTGCCCTTGCCACCGGGCCGGGTGTGACGCAGGTACTCGGCCCGCAATTTGGCCCAATCGATGCGGTAGTCGAACCTCGTGTCCATCAAGTAGGCGTTGTATCCGCAGCCCTTCCAGTCGTCCAAAAACTTGTTGATGGTCGCGTCCGTGTGCAGCCTCGGGTCTGATTTGGGCTCCCTGGATCCGGGGAGCCGATTGCCTTGTGTGTAGGCGGTCCACAGAGCGCAGAATACTGCACCCAACTCCGATTGGTGCCTGGTGAGGCGTTTGGCGGGTGGCTCTCCGCGGCGCTCCAAGTCCACTGTGCCCAGCCAGACCTTGTACATGGGGCCCCCATGGGAGTCGGTCAACAGGTTGAGTGTATGACGCTCCGTCGAACGAGGGTAGGTAGGCCTATGTCCAGGGACCTGCGGGTTGCGTAGTGGGGGACGACGACTCCGCGCGTCGCCCCTGTCGCGGGCGATCTCATCATAATCTGATCCCCTGGCTTCGCTGGCATTTTGGTCGGTGCTAACCGGGCCACCCCAGGCAGCAGTCGGGTCGCGGTCAGAGCTGGGTTCCGAGCTGTCTGCCGTTGGGCTCCGCTGAGGCGCCTTGTCGCCTGGGCCGTCGTCGTCGACCTCCGTGGCAGAGCCCGAACAGGATACAGGAGGAGGAGACTCGTGGGGGTTTCCAAAGTCGGGTGACTCCACCTTTTCCGTAGGAGGGATCACGTCTTCACCGCTCTCGTCCTTGACAGCGTGGTCGGGCGGGTCCGGGATACCCAGACGCGAGTCGTCGTCTCTCGTACCCAGGGGTTTGTCTGCGCCGGCCGCCGTAGGGGTGCCAGGTCTGTCCTCACTCATGGTCTGCACGTGCGACTCGGCCAGGGAAGTGATGGTCGTCGAGGCCAGGGCGTCGGCGCTGAGGCTGAGTAGGAAACTCGTCAGTGTGCCCATTTCATGTCTGACAGGGCTGAGGCCACTCGCCGGGGCGAGGATCGAGGCGTGCCTCTCCCAGGACTCCTTATGCTTCTCGCCGTTGGTGAGGTGGGCGACGACCCGCGCCGCGGCCAGCTGTTTGCCCTCCCAGGGCTGGTTGAGCGGGACACTATCCTCAGGGATGCATTCGCCGTACGCCGTCCTGAGGAACTCCGTCAGACGTCCGCCCGGCCAGGAGGCTTCGTCGCTCCTAGGCTCTGGGATGCTGCTGTCGCGGTTAGTGAGACAGAATTGTCGCCAGGTGTAGTCCAGCCCAGGGTGGAAGTCCCGGAGGTAGGTTACCAGGAGTCGCTGTACGGGCAAGTCTCCGCTGCCCGGTCCGCTCCTGGGGTCGTCTGGGCTCCGCGCTGGTGGGGATACGCGAAGCGTCTAGAATTATTCGACACGGGGGCCTCCATATGTGCATGTCAGTTCTTGGCGCTCCCGTTTGCGATCGTGTGGGTAAGGCATCTTAGCCTATGGCGACTGAGCGCTCCCTGGCGGCTCCCACCTGGAGTGCCGACATGCTGTGCCTGCCCTGTCGGGGTCATCTCCAAGCTCTGAAAAGAGAGGGTCGGGGGTGCCTAAACCAGAGCGTTTCGTATGACTCAATATAGAGCCACCCTCATGATCTGGCCACCCGTGGGGTGCTAAAACAAGCGCCTCGCTAGAGTTATCCTCACGATCTGCTCCGAAAGCAGAGGAGCCCCAGCCACGAGACGAAGAAACCACCCGAGACATCGCCACAATCTGGCGGCGAACGGGCGAATGTAACAATCCCTGGCGGCTCTCCCGTTCGGTGCCCACATGCCGCGCCTGCCATGCCGCGGTAATCGTTAGGTTGTCAAACGAAACAAGTCTGATCAACCAAACAAGGAAACCGCCTGAGATATCCCCACAATCTGAGCGCGAACGGGGACGTGCAACCAACCCTGGCGGCTCCCCGGTGGGGTGCTGAAACGAGCGCCTCGCTCGGACAAATGCCACGCCTGCTATATCGCGATGACCACTGGGCCCTCGAAAGAAACCAGCCTGATCAACCAAACAGGCAAACCGCCAGAGACATCCCCACAATCTGAACGCGAAAGGGCCCGTGCTATACCACTCTGGCGCCCCCTCTAAACCAGCGCCTCGCCAGGGACATCCTCAGGACATGCTTCAAACGAAGGGGATGTTGCAGACCTAAACAGGGAAACCGCCTGAGACATCCCCACAATCTGAGCGCGGACGGGCCCATGATGCACACCACTGGCGGCTCCCCCTTGGGGTGCTGAAACGAGCGCCTCGCTCGAGACACTTGCCACGCCTGCTATATCGTGGTGATCACTGGACTCTGACAAGAAACCAGCCTGATCAACCAAACAGGCAGACCGCCTGAGACATCCCCGCAATCTGACCGCGCAAGGGCCTGTGCTATACCCCTCTGGCGCCCACCATTGGGGTGCTGAAACCAGAGCCTCGCCTGAGACGTCCCTACAATCTGCTCCGAAAGCAAATAATCTTGAGCATGAAAACAAGAAAATCGCTTGAGACATCCCCACAATCTGGGCGCGAGCGGGTCCGTGAAATACCCCCTGGCGCCCCCCCATTGAGGTGCTGAAACCAGCGGAGTGCTGACAGAGCGGTCTGCGCCGACTCGCCACAGAGTGAGTCTGAATGAAGAAGATTGAGTTCGAATATGAATGAGTTTGAGTTTGAGCGAGTCTGAGTGTGAATCAGTCTGAGTGAGCCGGAGTCTGAGAAAATCTGAGTGTGATAAGTGAGCCTGAGTCAGAAGAGAGGGATGAGGTTGAGCATGAGTGAACCTGAACATGAATGATTATGACTTTGAGTGAGTCTGAGTATAAGTGACTCTGAGTCTGCGTGAGTCTGAGTGTAAATGAGTCTGAGTGTGAATGAGTCTGAGTGTGAGTGAGGCTATGTATGAGTGAGTCTTATTGTGAGTGCCTCTGAGTGTGAGTTGTTCGGCATGCCAGCAGACATGTTTAACATGACAGCAGCAAGATATACAAACACAGGAACTTCGTGTTGCAGGACCCTGCCGTAAACGTTAGACCTTGCGCGGCGATGCCCTACGGCATGGGCTGGGGCGGATCTCGAGACGCTGAGCACGACGCTGAGTATGCGCAAGGGCCGGCGAAAACACAGCGGCAATCCTGGACGGCACTAACCGGCCACACACTCTGGAGACCCACCCTAGCTCTGGACGCTTCGCGGGTCCGAATTACTGCCCCGAGCCGCTTGAAACGCGCCCTACAAGCGACGCTCTCACCACACCTGGACGCCAAATCCCGAGGCTGGAAAGCTGCTGAGAACTGACGACGACGCTCTGAAAGTTGGCTCCCTCTGGCCTGCGAGCCGCAGCCCCTGACCCAGACCGAGGGGAAAGCAAACCTGCGATCGTCTGAGTGTGAATGTTGGTTCCAGGTAAATGGGGCATTTGAAAACGGGGCCGCAAACCGCAGCTGCAATAATTCGCTGCGTGGAACCATTGCGCGCAACAATTGCGAACTCTTGCGCCCGCGTGCCCAACGATTGCGTCATATTGCATGACCAGACGCAACTATTGAATCGTGGCAGGCCAACAATTGCAAACAATTGCTCGCAAAGAAGCTAGAACACAAACGATTGCATCGAAGAGATAAACTACTGCGTTCGCTCGAGCAAACTATTGCACCCCGACGATTGCACGAGGCAGTACGATGTATGTGATCGTTTCCAACTATTGCATGAATTATTGCGCGCATTTTTCGCGGCCCCATTTCCAAAGACCCCATTAACCCGATTGTGAGAATGAATATGAGCTTGAGGAAGAGGAGGGAGTGCAGGAGCAAGGTCCGGATGCGTATAAATAGTGATACCAGAGAAATGCCCAAATCAAAGTCTTAGTGCTATAGGGCTATAGGGCTATGGAGCCATAGGGCTATGGGGCTATAGGGCTATAGGGCCATAGGGATATAGGTCTATAGGGCTATAGGGCTATAGGGTGATAGGGCTATAGAGCTGTAGGGCTATAAGGCTGTAGGGCTATAGGGCTATGGGGCTATAGGGCTATGGGGCTATAGGGCTATAGGGCCACAGGGCTATGAGTCTATAGGGCTATGTGGCTATAGGGCTATAGGACCATAGGGCTATAGGGCTATAGGGATATAGGGCTATGGGGCTATAGGGCTATGGGGCTATGGGGCTATAAGGATATAAGGATATGGGGCTATAGGAATATAGGGCTATAGGGCAATAGGGCTGTAGGGCTATAAGGCTACAAGGCTATAGGGCTACAGGGTTACAGGGCTATAGGGCTATAGGGCGATAGTGCTAAAGGGCTATAGGGCTATAGGGCTATAGGGCTACAGGGCAATGGGGTTGTCGGGCTATAGGGCTGTAGGGCTATAGGGCTATAGGCCTATAGAGCTATAAGGCTATAGGGCGATAGGGTTAAAGGGCTATAAGGCTATATGGCTATAAGGCTATAGGGCTATAGGCCTATTGGGCTAAAGCGCTATAGGGCTATAGGGCTATTGGGCTATGTTGCTATAGGGCTACAGGGCTATATGGCTATAGGGCTACAAGGCACCCGGGCACCCGGGAGGGCCGCGGAAATCGGCGGCAAAGATATGAATCCGCTAGGACCCCTACAAAGGCAAGCTCTGATTGAGGAGTAAGAAGAATCCCCTCGTTGGATATGGGGAGATAGCCAAAAGCCGGCCGCGGGAGCCTCGGATGCCTGGGCTCCGGGCTCGTTTGGCCAGGCCCTGGACAGCCGACCTTCTCTTGCTTCCTCAATATTCGAACAGGATCGTTCTGCTGGAGCCTGGGGCCCGAAAGCGGGCGAAAACGCCCGTTGCGAAAGAAGATCCATCGCCCTGAATCTCAGAGCACCTTTGCAGCCTGAGCTCCATCGGCCAGGCCCTGGACAGCGGCTCGTAGACGTCCGCCGCAACCTGCCGCGCCTGCTGCAGCGCCTCCCGCGCCAGCGCGGCGCTCTGCCCGCCGTGCTGGGCGCCCTCCAGCGACAGCGCGGCCTGCGCCACCAGCAGGTAGGCCATCACCTCCGGGGAAGGTGGGGGGCAGGGCTGGAGGACGACTGTCCCTGAGAGCCTGTTCCCCAATCAGAGATTGCAGATATTGAAAGAGCAGGCGAATGTACGGCGCCGATTTCGGTAGGCGGCCAAGTTTCCGGGTTCCCGGTTCGGGGTTCCCGGGTTCCCGGTTCGAGGTTCCTCGCCGATCTCAGTGGGCTACCAGGTTCACGAAGCCTCTGCTCCGGACCCGCAACTCCCAGCGATGTAAGGTTCCCTTGTTTTCGAATCGTCGGTTGTGCCCGAATACCCAGTATCAAACAGTGGAGAGAAAAGTTGAGAGATAGCATCGCTGATCATTTGCATTGTATATTAACAAAACTACAGCCGAGCGAGTAAAGGCGACTGTACATACAATTATATATACATAAAAATGCATGTGTAGAGAAAGAGGGACCGAATAGAGATAGAGTGTGATAAACCACAGAAACAACTTGTACGTGTAAAAAATAAGGACACGCAAGTAGACAAGCGTTCTTACATGAGAGAGAGAGAGAGAGAGCAGCGAGAGAGTAGTTCCCCATCAGTTATTGCACTGAAGAGACTCAGGGTAGGCGACAGTAGCTTGCCCGATTTCGTTGGGCGGCCAGGTTTCAAGGTTCACGGCCTTGCGCTTCGGGACGATTTCAATGGGCGGTCGGTCTCTCGGCTTCACGCTCTGGGTCAAGGATTCATGATGCAGTTGGTTCTTTCGATGTTCGGGTTCTTCGGGGCGTTTGCGACAAAGGTCAGAACGCGGCCAACGACCAGGGTCAGATACGCAGTAGAGCGTGAAGAAAACATATCAGAGAGCAGAAAGTATCAGCAGCGAGGAAACATAATATGGGTTAGCGAACTGGTGGATCGTGGATCGATGGACCCATGAGTGACACAAATACATACTAGAACCATCGCGCGCGCTTCGCGCGCGCCCAAGTTCTAGCTAAGCAAATAATCGGACTCATCGAACCCTGGAGACGTTGAGGTTGAACCGTGGAAAGCAGGCCCCAGCCCTGGAAGCCGACTGCCGAAATAGGAAATGCAGGCGGAGGAGTAGATACGAGGAAAGAGGGAGGAGGGCAGAATAAGAAAAGGAGACAGGTGAGGAAGAGGAAGGGGGGTGAGGACAATGAGTAGTCGTCATCGCCATCCTCATCACAATCGTATTCATCGTCATCGTCATCGGCATCGTCATGATCACCATCAGTACACCATCAATACACCATCAACACCATCACCCTCACCACCACCGCCATCAGCAGCAGCATCGTCATCACCATCGTCATCATCGAAATCGCACCGTCATCATAGTCGTCATCGTCATCAGCATCAGCAGCATCATCATCATCATCATCATCATCATCATCATCATCATCACCATCATCATCATCATCATCATCATCATCGTCGTCGTCGTCGTCGTCGGCGTCGTCGTCGTCGTCGTCGTCGTCCTCGTCGTCCTCGTCGTCGTCATCGTCATCGTCATCATACTTGTAATCGTCATCACCGTCATCATCATCCGTCTGCTCCAGTTCCCTCCCCCTTCTCCTCTTCCCCTTCTATCTCTACCGATCCTCCTATCCTCCTCCTGGTCCTTCTAGTCGTCGTCTCCCTGAAGAAGATGCCTGTCTCTCTACCTCCTCCTCCTCCTCCTCCTTCTCCTCCTCCTCCTTCTTCTCCTCCTCTTTTCGTCATCCTCCCTCTCCTCCCCGCTCTCTTCAATCTCTCCCTCCATGTGTTCCTACACCCCCTGGACATCCTTCGGGGCCGCCCGCCCCTCTGCGAGCGGCGGTGTCGTCGTCGTCGTCGCCGTCGTCGCCGCCGCCACCGCCTCCGTCGTCGTCGTCGTCGTCGTCGTCGTCGGCATGCTTGTCAGCATCATCATGAGTGCCGTCGTTGTCATAATCATAATAATCATCATCACCATCATCACCATCACCATCACCATCACCATCATCATCACCACTACCACCATCATCATCACCACCACCACCATCGTCGTCGTCATCATCGTCGTCGTCGGCGTCATCATCATCATCATCATCATCAGCATCATCAGCATCATCATCATCATCATCATCATCATCATCATCATCATCATCATCATCCTCATCCTCATCCTCATCCTCATCATCATCATAATCATGATCATCATCGTCATCTCTGCCACCCTGGGACTGTCATGGTGGTGCAGCTTCCTGACAGGCGTTCTGGAAACATGCTTGGGGCGGGGAGCGGAAGCCTGATATGTTCCCAGATGCAAGAGGAGGAGGAGCAGAGACGAGGAAAGAGGGAGATGGGCAGAATAAGAAAAGAAGACAGAGGGGGAAGAGAGGAAAGGGGGAGGATAATAAGTAGTGGGCGTCGTCGTCGTCGGAGTCGCCAACTTGAAAAAACAAATGAAGTTTGTAATTTATTTTTTCAAATTGTTCTAGGGTTCGTCGCCGTTGTCGTCGCCGTCGTCGCCAGAACGGCTCCGAGACAGCCCAAACGCCTTCAAAACGGTTCCAAGGGGGAGCTCAGACGGGGTACCTGAACGGCATTTCGGTGCCCTCCGCCTTAAGAGACCCCAGGTGGTCCCAAGAGACTGCGAAAAGGTCTCAAGAGGACCCAAGAAATCCCCAATGGGCCCCCCAGACAAACGCCCAAGAGGCCCCCAAGAACGACGACGACGACGACGACGACGACGACGACGACGACGACGAGGAAGACGACGCCTGGGGCAACTTGACAAAAAGATGGAATTCCCGACGTTCCATTTTTTCCAAGTTGCCAGGCGGCTCATCCCTTCACTATTCGATTGCATATGTATAAATTATATATATATATATATATACACATACGAATCGGAATATACTTGCACTGTCGTCGCCGCCGTGGACGGCATCTTCGGAATCAGCATCATCCGCATCATCCACATCATCCGCATCATCATCATCATCATCATCATCATCATCATCATCATCATCATCATCATCATCGTCATCATCATCATCATCATCATCATCATCATCATCAGCATCAGCATCAGCATCAGCATCAGCATCAGCATCAGCATCAGCGTCAGCATCAGCATCAGCAGATCATCATCATCATCATCATCATCATCATCATCATCATCATCATCATCCGAATTATCAGCATGACTTGTCATCACTATCACTACCATAGCCGTCGCAAACACCATCATCACCACCATTGTCACCATCTTTACCATAACCAGTATCAGCAGCATAACCACCTTCATCGGCATAAGCAGCATCATCATCATCATCAGCATCATCATCAGCATCATCATCATCATTGACGTGATCGTCAGTATCGTCATCATCATCATCGTCATCGTCAGCGTCATCTACATCATTATCATCAACATCATCGACGTCTCCATCATGGCCGTCGCCGTCATCGTTGACATAGTAGCTGTTGGATCCTCGACGTCATCCTCATCACCATCATCTGTCTGCTCCAGTTCCTGCCTCGCTGTCCTCCCCCTCAACCTCTTCGCCGTTCTATCTCTACGCGTTCTCCTCCTCTCCTCCTCCTCCTCGACGCCATTTGCTCAATAAAGATCCCTGTGCTTCATCCTCCTCATCCTCCCTTTCCTCCCTCTCTCTGTCTTCCCCGCTCTCGTGAAGCTTCCTGTCCGTGTCTTCTCGCATCTCCTTCTCATCCTGGATCACGTCCCAGTTGGATAGTGAGACCGATCGTGAGATCGACTGTGGGATCGATAGTGAGATCGATCGTGAGATCGACTGTGTGATTGGTAGTGAGATCGATCGGGAGGTCGATCGTGAGATCGACGGGGAGATCGATCGTGAGATCGATCGTGAGATCGAAATTGAGATCGTCCGTGCGATCGATAATGAGATCAATGTGAGATCGACCGTCAGATCGATCGTGAGATCGTTAGTGAGATCGATCGTGAGATCGACTGTGGGATCGATAGTGAGATCGATAGGGAGATCGATCGTGAGATCGGTGTGGAGAATGATCGCGAGATCGATCGTGAGATCGAAAGTGAGATCGTTCGTGTGATCGATAATGACATCGATCGTGAGATCGATGAGATCGATGTGAGATCGATCGCGAGATCAATCGTGAGATCGATAGTGAGATCGACTGTGGGATCATAGTCAGGTCGATCGTGAGATCGATTGATTGAGGTGTTGGTTCCTCCCCAAAAACCTCCTTATCACCCGAAGGGTGGTCGTATAGGTACGTTATGTGTGTGAAGCCGTTTAGAAGCCTCTGGGGGGCCGGAGGATCTGTTTTCGGCCTCTTGGGGGCCTCGCGTGAAGATCCATTTTGAAGAACCTATTTGGGGCCTCTTAGGGGCCCAAAAGAAGCCTCTTGGGCGCCTCTTGGAACCTCCTGGAGGCCTCTTGGGGCGGAAAGCTCGACATGCCGGTTCGTGTCCCCCCTCTTGGGCCGTCCTGGGCGCCTCTTGGGCTATTTGGGGGCCCTTTTGGGCTGGTTATGGGGCCTCTTGGGGGCCTTAAAAACATGTTATTCATATCACTGTACCTTCTTCTCAGCGGCGTGCCGATGCATGTGCAGAATCAGAAGACGTAAGACACCTCACGTCAGCTGCAGAAAGGGCGAAATGCGAACACGTATCACAACACTGCGCAAATCCCACCAGCCCTTTAGGGCGTATGTCGCTTGCTCTGCGTAGGAAGTGCCTGGGATGCAGCGGCCAGCGCTGTACATGAGCTGCTACCTTGGGCTGCAGCTCGCTGGATACTGCTGCGTGAAAGGCGCTGCTACCCTGGGCTGCAGCGCCATGCAATTACATACCCCGGCATTACTTATTCCACACGGCACTTGAACGAGAGAGGGACAAGCTTCCTCTTCCAACCGCCTTCTTCCCCTTCGGGGAAGGGTTTACCCCTCCCCCTACCCCCTCCCCTGGACCTGGACGGGGGGGGGCGCGAGCGGTTAGAGCGTCCAAGATGGCCCAAGATGGCTCTAAGAGCGCCTCCGAGAGCCCAAGATGGCCTCCAAGATGGTTCAAGATAGCCTAAGATGCCTCAAGATGGCTCCGAAGATGCTCCAAGAGGCCCCAAGACCGCCCCAAGACGGCTCCAAAAGGCCAAATAGCTTCCCAAGGAGGCCTCCAAGAGGCCGAAATCCATCAAAAACCTAAGGGATAACAACGAGTTTTGCATTCTCGCCTTTTCGCTTCCGATGGCCATCCGAGG